AGCCTAAAGAATGGGAGGAGATCTTTACAAATTATACATTTGACAGTTAGTGTCTAGAATATACAAAGAACCAAAGAACATCTCCAAAAATTTCATGTTTAAAATGGAGTACAAACAAATCAAGAAAGTTATCAAAAGATAAAACATAAATGGGCGGAGAAACTTAAAGAACTGTTCAGAATTCTTAGCCATCAGAGAAATGCAAGTTAGAGTTGCTTTGCGATTTCATCTTTCCCCAGTCAGAATGGCCAAGATCAAATGACAGCTATTAAGGATGTGTGTGGGGGGAAAGGGAATACTTACTCATTGCTGATGGGAGTGCCAACTGGTGTAACCACTATGAAAATCAATATGGAGGTTCCTTGGGAAACTGAGAATTGTCTTACTTCAGGATCCAGCAAGACCTTCCTTAGACATATACCCAAAAGGCTATGGAGATACTTACTCACCCATGTTCATTGCTGCTCTGTTTCTAATAGCCAGAAATTGGAAACACCCTAGATGTCCATCAAGTGATGACTCAGTAATGAAACTGGTACATTTTCACAATGGAATATTATTCAGCTCTTGAGAAAAATAAAATTATGAATTTGACAGGTAAGTGGGTGCTAGAAGGAATCATCCTGAGTGAGGTAACTCGGACCCAGAAAGACAAACATAGCATGTTACCTCTTACATACGGTTGTTAACTTTTGAGCTTTCAGTATGTTTGCTACCACCTGAAGAGGCACAGAGGTTAGGATGGCAAGGGAGTGAGGATGAGGGCATTTCCAGAGAATGGGGGGATAGAGTGTGGTATTGTGGAGAGAGTGTGTGTGTCAGTCTTATTGTTGCCTTGAAGTTATCCGTGAGTTCTGACTCTTGCAAATTAGAATAGGAAGATTAAGTGGGGAGGGGCATGAGCGAGTAGGGATAAAGGAAGGAATGTGAGGGAGACAGCTAACACTAAAGGCCTGGCTGTATGGAAACCTACTGTTGTAGAAGCTTCCTAAAATATATTTATATAGGAAAGGAAATGGAGTCACCACCTTATGGGAGAGACAATGCCCAAACTAGATACCTTATGCGTAGTAAAACCTCCAGTTCCAGGAATGGATTATACCTTGTTGAGTCATTCATTGGCTTAAAGGGATCCCTTGAGCTTCCTCAAGCATCACAAACTATTGCCAAGGCTGTTGGTTGCTCTTCACATCCTAATGGTAAGACCCTACTGCTCAGGACACTTAGCATTGGCACTGAGCATGGAAAAATCCAGCTGGTACCAAACTAGAAGCTTCACTTCTGCCGGCCCACATTCATGGTACTGGAAGGTACTTTGCATGTACCAGAGGAGAGAAGTGATCAGTATTATTCAGCTATGAACTCTATAACCTACAGCAACCTGCCTGCAGGATATACTGGTGCAGTAGTGGCACAAATGTTTTGGGAGTAGCTATCCACTTTAAAAAAAAAAAAAAAAAACTATATTTGAGGCCCACTGCATGAGATGGACCCCATACCTGGCATTACTAAGGTAGCCAAGAACCTGAGACTAGTTAGGTAATGAGCTTAACGGAATAACAGAATAATGCTGTTATTCTGCTAAAGGAAGACAGGAATAAGGTGACTGTATGTAGTGCTATACCCATGGATTATGCCTCACAATGTCCTCATCAGAGGGCAAGTAGATGGTGATTAACACAGAGACCCACAACTAGACACTGTGCAGAGAGTTAGAGACTTTGGAATACTCAGTGCTAATTGGGATAGCGTCATCGCATCCTGGTCCCCTCAAGGCTCAGGGCACTATGTGGAAGAGGAGGGAGAAAGATTGCAGGAGCCAGAGGTCATGGATGGCGTCAAGGACACAGTCACAGGACTAATGCACATCTGAACTCACAGACACTGTAACCGCATGCACAAGAACTGCCTAGCTGCAAGTTTGTCAGAATCCCAGCACTGAGAAGGGGAAGTGGACACAAAGTCCCAGGACTAACCATTCATCTCTTGGCAATTGACACCTGCTGGGAGAGGGAAACTCGGTTTTCTCCAGTGGGGTGTCACTGGGTGTATCAGTTGCACTCCAGGGCGGCCCATGGTCAGGAATAGTTGGCCTATAGAAAAGAAACTCTGTGTTTTGTTTTGTGGGCTTTTTGTTTCATTTCTCTTCATTGTTGTTGTATTGACTTACTGTTTTTTAGAGAGGCAGGAGAAATAACTTGAAGTTTGATTTTTGGTTGGCCAGGATGTAAGGAAGAGCTGGAGGAGCTGGGAGAGGGGAATAACTGATCAAAATATATTGTTTGAAAAGAAATATGTTGTACTTGGCACAATTTAAAAAAAATTAATAATAAAGGTTATCCTGATCCCTTATTTCCTAGGCAGTGCATGGTTGTCCTCTGCAGAACTTTTAAAGACTACGCTCTTTAACATCATGGTTTCTGAACTCCCTGTTCTGAATTTTAATTGATATGCACGATTCAAACTAGCTTGCTTCTCAGCCTGAGAAATACACTAGGAGAAGTCAAATCTCCAGCAAAGTCCTGATGCTTTCCAAAGCCAAACATGGCACTCTTCCTTGTCTCTGCTCTCCAGGAGGGAGCTGGCTGGTGCTCCTGGGTAGGTAGGAATCATGGCTGAGCTATATACAGTGAAATGAAAGCTCGGTTCCTTTTTTTTTAATTAATTAATTTATTTATTTATTAAAGATTTCTGTCTCTTCCCCACTGCCGCCTACTCTTTCCCTTCCCCTCCCCCAGCCAAGTCCCCCTCCCTCGTCAGCCCAAAGAGCAATCAGGGTTCCCTGCCCTGTGGGAAGTCCAAGGACCACCCACCTCCATCCAGGTCTAGTAAGGTGAGCATACAAAGTGCCTAGGCTCCCACAAAACCAATCGGTGCAGTAGGATCAAAAACCCGTTGCCATTGTTCTTGAAGTCTCAGTAGTCCTCATTGTCCACTATGTTCAGTGAGACCGGTTTTAACCCAGGCTTTTTCAGACCCAGGCCAGCTGGCCTTGGTGAGTTCCCGATAGAACATCCCCATTGTCTCAGTGTATGGGTGCATCCCTCGCGGTCCTGAGTTCCTTGCTCGTGCTCTCTCCTTCTGCTCCTGATTTGGACCTTGAGATTTCAGTCTGGTGCTCCAATGTGGGTCTCTGTCTCTGTCTCCTTTCATCGCCTGATGAAGGTTAATGTTCAGGAGGATGCCTATATGTTTTGCTTCTCTAAGAACCCGAATTATAGGCTCAATGTCCTTTATTTATGGCTAGAAACCAAATATGAGTGAGTACATTCCATGTTCCTCTTTTTGGGTCTGGCTTACCTCACTCAGGATAGTGTTTTCTATTTCCATCCATTTGCCTGCAAACTTCAAGAAGTCCTTGTTTTTTACTGCTGAGTAGTACTCTAATATGTATATATTCCATACTTTCTTCATCCATTCTTCCGTTGAAGGGCATCTAGGTTGTTTCCAGGTTCTGGCTATTACAAACAATGCTGCTATAAACATAGTAGAGCATATACTTTTGTTGTATGATAAGGCCTCTCTTGGGTATATTCCCAAGAGTGGTATTGCTGGGTCCATGGGTAGGTTGATCCCGAATTTTCTGAGAAACCTCCACACTGCTTTCCAGAGTGGTTGCACAAGTTTGCATTCCCACCAGCAATGGATGAGTGTACCCCTTTCTCCACAACCTCTCCAGCATAGGCTATCATTGGTGTTTTTTTATTTTCGCCATTCTGACAGGTGTAAGATGGTATCTTAAAGTTGTCTTGATTTGCATTTCCCTGATCGCTAAGGAAGTTGAGCATGACCTTAGGTGTCTTTTGGCCATTTGAACTTCTTCTGTTGAGAGATCTCTGTTCAGCTCAGTGCCCCATTTTATAATTGGGTTGATTAGCCTTTTACGGTCTAGTTTCTTGAGTTCTTTATATATTTTGGAGATCAGACCTTTGTCAGTTGCGGGGTTGGTGAAGATCTTCTCCCAGTCAGTGGGTTGCCTTTCTGTCTTAGGAACAGTGTACTTTGGAAAGCTTGGTTCTTGATGAAGTGAATCTTAGCAAACCTCACCTCACCTGGGTTGGCCCCTTAGCAAGTCTTGGTGTTTGCTCACTCGCTGTGGTGATAACATAGAGAGAGTCAGGTGGGCTACATTTGGGAAACACTGGAAGTTTGTATTTTGTTTTGGTGTGGTCTAAGTGGTATTTGTGAAATGAGTAGCATTGTATACAAGTATGCCGAAAGGGTTCCAAGTTTGGAGCTGCAGGTGCCCTGGACTTCTTGGTGATTCCAAAGCTCGGTGGCAGTCATTCACTCTCTGGAGACTACTTGCCTTCCTAGAAAATGTGGAAGCTCTTATTCTCACCATTCTTATGAATAGTTTGAGGTGTTAAAATGGGGTTTTGCTCATTATCGTGGCCAACAGCTTGAAGATGCTGTCTGAAGGACACATGTTCATTTCCAGGTAATTGTCATTACGTTAGGCATGAGGACCGAGGCCTCTGCTTAAAAGAGTTTTAGGAAAGTTGGTTGTTTTTTGTATTAGAAGTATAGCTGGGTAGTGCCTCTTGCTTTGAGTTTTGAAGTAAAAGCTGATACAGCAGAGTGGAGAGATGGTTCAGCCATTAAGAGTACGGCTCTTGCTGTTCCTCATCAGCTGCCCCACAACCTGAAACTCCAGCTCCAGAGGATTCGAAACCCTTTCCTGGCCTTCACAAACTGGGCGCCTGCAATATATGGACATACACATACCCCTACACACACCGTCATACACATAATTAAAAGTAATAAATCTTAGAAATAATAAAATTTGATAGAGAAAGCATTTATGTAGCCCTTAACTTAAAAATGAACTATTGAGTAGGACCGACAAAACAAGCAGCATTCCTGGCTCTCTTGGAGCCGATGAGGCTGTTTGTTGGATGTGTTTCAGATGCTGTGCTTTTTTGTTTGCCCGAGTTCTTCGTGTATCCGTAGAGTGATAGTGAGTACTAAGTGGGTCTCCTTTCGCCTCTCTTTTGCAGCCTTGGGGAGTTTTGCCTTGCTCACCTGTTGCTGAAGAGGAACCCCACCATGTTTTTCCAGCACTTCATTGAGTGTATATTCCACTTCAACAGCTATGAGAAACATGGGCAGTACAACAAGTTCTCCCAGTCAGAGAGGTGAGTAAGAAGCTGAGGCGGTCATGCCTGCATGTTCTGGTAGGAGCTCTGGTGGTGGCTGTATCATGCAGAGCCTGACATTGACCTGATGTCTACTGCATTGGTCATTAGTTTTGTTGGCACAATGACAAGAGAAAATTTATCATAATGATGGCCTCCTAAGGATAATGTCTGATGACACTGGAACCTTACAGTGTCCGTGTCACACAGCCTTGAGGGTGCTGTATTTAATCTTTGTCACCTATACCTATGCACTGCAGTAATGACTGCCCTGTTCTGCCACAGAGGGAAGCGGCTGTTTTTGCTAAAGGGAAAGACAAACAAGGAGAAGCGAATGAGAATCTACAAGTTTCTTCTTGAGCACTTCACAGATGAGCAGCGATTCAATGTCACTTCCAAAATCTGCCTTAATATTTTGGGTATGTCTGGTGTGTCCGGGATAAATGTGTTCTTAGAACGCTGCTACCACAGCCATATGGAAGACTCGTCTTCTTTGTCCTCCTTAGCATCAGTTCTGTCCCTTAGGACCCCTCCCACTCCCCATCACCAGTCAGCCCAGACTTGCCCTAGTTCCATGAATTCCCTTTCCCCTCTGGGCTAAGGGTTTCTCTGAAACTGGTCCCCCGTGCTCTCTTCAGCATGTTTCACTGATGGCATCTTGCCCCTGGACATGGAGGCCAGCGAGTTGCTCTCCGATACTTTTGACATCCTCAGCTCAAAGGAGATCAAGCTGTTGGCAATGAGAGCTCAGGCATGCAAGGACCTCCTGGAGGAAGATGACATGGCTCTGGCAAATGTGGTCATGCAGGAAGCCCAGATGAAGATCATCTCACAGGTGTGTGCCCACTCGGCTGCTCCAGTGTGGGTTGTGTACCTGAGTCCTGGAGCCGTTCTTATCGGTGGCTTTCTGGGTGGTTGTGATTCTGAAGTCTCTACCTCTAGCTACTGCTCCTTCCATAGGTCTGAATGTGTGCCTACTTGCCTGTCTGTGTGTGCCATGGTGTCTCAGATTTACTGTCAGAACTAAATTAATCATTTCTCCTTGCTTGATTTCTTCTCCCAGTCTTTTGTAGAGAATGGAGCAATTATATACCACAGGTTCCTTTTTAGAGAATCTGCTACATCCAAAGGCAGAACAGGAGTTCAGCGTGTCAAGAATATGTTTAGATTGACCAAGAGTGTCAAATTAGAAATTCAGTGACCGGGAAGGCACGGTTGCCACAGCCCTCAGCAGGCTCCATGGTCTTGTACCTAGGTTGAATATCCAGTTTGTATTTCCCACCTGACCCCTGAAGTCTTTTGATCCCCAAAGATTTATATTACATCCAATTTTCCAGAAGATCTTGTTTGTTTTACTTGCATGCCTGTCTCTTTTGCTTGTCCAGTGTTGCTTCTTTAAGCCTGTGCCATTTGCTGTCAGCACCCTTCCTGTCTCTGGTTTTTCTCTTTGCAGGACATGTACCACTCTGCTGCCTAAACAGTCTTTCTTAAGCATAATTATTCTCTGCAAAAATATATTGAAAATGACTGTTGAGACAGCAAGGAACTTCTGAGGGTGGGGTGGGTTGTAGACGATCTGTGCTATTGAACACTTAGCACTTCGTGAATGCTCGTGGAACTTTTCTCTTAAAATTGTAAGTGTGGGGGTTGGAAAGAGGGCTCGTCAGTTAGGAGTACCTGCACTTGCTGGTAACTCACAATGGCCTTAACTTGGGTTCTGATTTCTGTGGGCTCCTGTGTACGTGTGCTACACACACATGAACTCAGGTACACATACATACACAAAATAAATATTTCCTTTTTTTAAAAAATCAGTAAATGCATCAGATGTTAAGCTACCTTGGTGTTATTCTGTCACCTTCTGTATAAAATCTGGATTATTCTCAAAGATGTGGAAAACTGTCTGCCCTCACCTTATTCCTTCCCTTTCTCAGAACCTGAGATGTGTTCTGTTCTATGCCTTTGACACTGGCTGCACACAACTACTGTTGATCCATCCCAGTCCTTACACAGCTCAAGCGTCATCATAAAGAATCAGCCTATACACATTCTTGCCTGCTAATCTTCCCTGGGTATCCTTCCTCTACCTCAGTTCCCTAGTTCCCTGCAACTTGCCATCTCCTGGCATTTGTCTCAACACACTCTGATTTGGAAGCAGTGTGCGGAAGTCTTGATGTTATTTCTGTGTCTCCAGAGGTTAACGTGTGTCTAGGACAGAGACTGTGGTTGGCAATACTTGTTAGGTGCATTTAGACCACATTTAAAGGCAGTTCCTACACTTACTGTATGTTCAGATGCATGGTTCTTAGCTTGAGTATTCCTTGTTATCAAATTTGGGACCCTGACTCAAAGCTTCAGAAATGAGTGGTATATAAGCAGGAAACACTGTTAGCTTTAAATGAAAAGACAAGAGTACATTTTAGCGTCAGAAAGAGAAATCTACATGTGTAGGGCAATATAATGAGTTGTTTTTAATTCTAAGATTTACTGCTCGGTATGTCGGTTACTGATTATTTAAATCACATACTGTTTGTTTAAAAGATCTTACTGTATAGCTCAGGTTGGCCTGAAACTCTTGATCTTCCTTCCTCAGACTTACATATGCATATAAAAAGGTGCGTGCGCGCACGGACACACACAAACACAAACCACTGGTCATCTTAATGCCGACTCAGCCAGAGATCATTGTCTTTTTACATGTAAGATTATAATATGTCTCTTTGGTAGTCAGCTTAAACAGATTGTCCTTCAAAAGGAAGGGTGCGCAGTAGAGTCAGGGTCAAGGGCCCATCAGGGTTGTGTGGAGATTGGAACTTTCTGTCAAGTTCCTCATCATGTTTCTTTCTCCTTCTCATTTAGAACATGGAAGTGGGAAGTGGGGTGAATATGCATTCTGCTTTACACGCCTGCATTGCTAAGGCGCTGGCAGTCTGAGAACAAGCTGTACATGCGCCCTCTTCGTTCCCAGTATCCTGGTCAAATGGCAGACAGCCCTCTCTAGTCTGCTAGATTTGGTGTACTTAAAGTGGATCAAGAAGTTAATTTTCAGACATGTATGCCTCTAACGCATGCTTTTGTTTGTGTTCCTGCAGGTCCAAAAGAGGAATTTCATAGAGAATATTATTCCAATTATCACCTCCCTGAAGACTGTGCTGGAGAAAAACAAGATGCCTGCTTTGCGGGAACTCATGAACTACCTCAGGGTAAAGAGGAGCGTCCCTGCGGGCTTTCCTCCTGCCTCTGCCCCGGGTTCACTGCTTAGTCTAGATGGTGGATGAGAAGCACTCAGAATGCTATGAAACCTACTCTGGGTAGAAATGTTGGCTGGCCTGTGACTGCTGAGGCCACTGAGGCACTGAAGAGTCCGGCTGGAGGCACCACTGAGGCTGTTCCTTCTGTTTCTCAGGCAGCTGAGTCTTTAAAGAATATCTTCATGTTCTGAACCTATAGATCCTTCCTTGGCAATAAGTCCCAATCTAAAGATTTTCTAAACAAAAGCCAAGCACAAGACATTATCCTATTCCATCCTGTAAGGATGAACTGGAAATTGATCATCACATTTAATATTGGGTGTTTGCTTTCGTGGACAGGAAGTCATGGGCCTATGGCAGGGTCACACACAGGGATAGGGTGTTACCTTGAGGCAACTCCTGTTCTTAGGCTGTCTGTAAAGCAGGGGACCATGAGAAAAGCTGGAATGTATTTATCTACACTACAGACCTAAGCATGGCCTCAGGCCTTTGACCAAAAAAAAAAAAAATAAGAAGAAAGAAACATTTTCTCCCTTAATTTAGCAGCTTTTCCTTTGTTCATATTTGTTATTCTTAATTTAAAACAAACAAACAAACTTGGGATGGCAGGATGGCTCAGTAGACAAAGGTGCTTACTGTCAAGTCCAGTCCCAGACCCCTGTGGGAGGATTGACACCAGGAAGTTTCCCTCTGACTTGAAATATCTCTTTGAAAAATTGGAAAACTCTCCTTATAGGGCTGTAGCAGAATTACACTGAACATAGTTTTTCAAATAGTTTTGCATCCTAGGGAAGATCAGCTGGGAAAGATAAGCTCACTTGGTGGAGAACATGAGAATTGGCTTTTCGTGGTTGTGACATACCCCTTCCCTCCCTCCTGGGCACGAGTTGATGTCAATATGAGCAGCTTCCAGGCTGCACCATGTCTATGACCTCCCCAGGCACCTTTCCTGTCAGGAACATGGCGGCTAGACAGGAAGCTTCCCAAGAGGCCACAACTGTTAGCTAATAACACACCATGGTCACCTGCTTACGTGGTCCCCGTTTCCCCAGAAAATGCCATTGTGCTGAGTAACGTATTAGTTGGTGTTATAGGGATGCTCATAGTTTATTGTTGCTGTGGAGAGAAGGTTTGCCATGTAGCTTGAGCTTGCCTGGAACTCTCCATCCTCTGGTCTCACCTGGCCTGCTGCTGGAATTGCAGGTGTGCACCACACCAATAAGAAGGTACTAAAGGATGCCCTGGGTCTGTTTCAGGAGGTGATGCAGGATTACCGAGATGAAATCAAAGATTTCTTCGCAGTTGACAAACAGCTGGCCGCTGAGCTTGAGTATGACATGAAGAAGTACAATGAACAGTTAGCCCAGGAACAAGCTCTGACAGAACATGCTAACGCGAGCAGAAAGGGAGACGATGATGGCAGAGCACAGGCCGTGCAGGTACGAGAGGCCGCCTGAAACTTACCACATCGCTAGTCTGCTGTTTGCCATCATTTTTCTTTGCATTCCTCAAAATCTAGGTGTAACCGGGGGTTGGCGCTGAGCTTTGGGGGGGTGTTCTCTGCTGGCCAGCTTGTTTGATGTGATAGACACACCAACCAGCAGCTCAAGGGTTCTCTTTCTCCGCGCCCTGTCAGGGGACCCTGCCTGCATAGTTGTGGTAATCATTAGAAGGTGTGAGTTCCTAGTAGGTTCACTGGCAGAGCACACTGTGTTGACTGCCCTTTAGAGCTTCTTACCTGCAAGGGCATTTCTCATGTAGCTGTTGCTCACATACTTCTCTAACAAGTCCAAGCAGATACGCTTTATTAAAAGAGAAAGACAACCCTGCCACAGCATATGTGCGAGGCAGTCTGCAGAGAGTTCTGTTTTAAAGGGAAAGTTGTAGTTGTCCTTGTCCGGGGTGGAAGTGGAGTCCCTGGGCCCTTCTCGTAGCATATAATGATATCCTTGTTCACTTCTGGAATAGGGTGCTCCTGACTTACAAGCCGTACCTGCTGCTGCTGACCAGGAAAGTGGTAACGCGTCTCTGGCCAACAGCCAGCCTTCAGTACCTGGGTCCAACTTCACCCAAACTTTGTCTCCTATATTCGAAAATGGGCCTCTGAAGACGATGCCCAATGCCAGGTAGGGAGCAGCAGCCTGAGTCTCACGGTCTTCTCACAGCCAAATCTCCATTCCTACCAGGCCTCAACCAGAACTGTCTCATCACTGTTTGTGCTGACACCGCACACCACATGCTTCCCCGAGAGTCTGGAAAGAGGGTGGTGGAGCAGTCTGTCAGAAAGGAAGTGGTGGGAGCGCTGCCTCCATGATGGCCTGCGCTGGGAGTCAGTGCCTGGGATCTTGTCTCCGTAGGCCCATGTCCCTGAGTACCATCGCAATCCTCAACTCAGTCAAGAAAGCCGTCGAGGCCAAGAGCAGGATTCACAGCCGCAGCTTAGGAGCGTTGCCTTTCACTGTAGAGTCAGGAAGCCCAGAAAAGTCCTACAGCTCTGGTAAGCCTGAAGGTTGGCAACGATAGATTGTGCATGTGCAGTTCAAAAATGCGAGTCTACTTTCAGTCCTTTTAAAATCTTATCTTTTTTTTTTTCTTTTCTCCACTGCTCACTACTGCCCCCTCACCCTTTTCTCTGTCTTGGAATTTAACCTATAATCCAGACTGGCCTCAAACCCCCAGATATTTGCTTGTCCTTGCCTCCCAAATGCTGGATTAAAGGCGTGTGCCACACTGCCCAACTGAAGATGTTTCCTGTTGTCCTTAAATAGCATGAATTGGGGATTTAGGATTAAGGCTGTGCTAAGGGATTTGGAAAATGGGGTGTTAAAAGAGCCTTCATTCTCCTAAAATACATGTGTTTTATTTATGACTGAGTTCTTATTGTGTGTTGCTTCATCTACACACCTGTAAGATACCCAGTGAAAATGCTTCCACGAGAGGTTCAGCACTCTTGTGCGCTGGCTTTCCAGCACTGCGTCTTACACCGGAAGTCCTGAGCCTCTTCTTACTACCCTATTCTTGAAAGAATTGATGCTTTTCGACTTCTGTTATGTAAATGACACAGTAAAACGTCCTTATAAGGAGCCTTATTTGTGAAAAGATTTCCATTGGAAAAGCCAAAATATTTAAAATCCTTCAACTGGGTTTGGTAGTCTGCATCTGTAATCTAGCACTTGGGAGGATGAAGCAGGAGGACTGTCATGACTTTCAGGCCAGCCTGGGCTACAGAGTGATAGTTGTCTCCAAAATAATAACAGTAATGAGTAATTTAAACATATATATGTAAAAATAAAACTGTTGGCCAAACTGTCAAAAACGTAAAAATAATACGGTTTTACTCTCTTCTTCCTTGAATGCTTTGAGTGTGGACGCTGCCCTGAAGCTTTAACATTTATTTTACATTGCTTTCTTAATTTCTGTGGCCTGTTTGTGTGTGTGTCACTTAAAACATTGGGAATTTTAACTTTTCACATGTAGCTTGTTTATTTATTTATTTTTTTCTTTATGATGCTACTTTGGGATTTCGCACTGATAGATTTTTCTGTTCTATCTTAGCAACTTCCTTAAGCATGGAACAGGAATCCAGTAAAGCTGGCAAACCTGTAACTAAACGGGCGATCAGCACCCCAGAGCGTGAGTAACTAATTGAGAGCCTTCCCTACGGTTGCCAAAGTAACACTAGTGGTAAAACTTCCATTCTAAGATAGTCTTGTGCTTGGCTGATGGTGCTCACTGCGTTACTGTCCAAACTGCATGTCTCATGGTGATTGATGTTATTTGATGGAGAATTTACTGAATATTAAGCACTCATCCTAGCGGCGCACACATTAACTGAGTTAAACCTCACAACAACCTGAGAGGGCCCTGCGTGAACTGAGGGACAGATTGGTCAGGTTACATCCCAAAAGTGACTTGGAGGTAGCCCTCTGCTGCTCTGGGTACACTGGGAGGTGCCAGTCTGGTTTGCCGTAGGCTATGGGCAGAAGTTGGTACTGCATGTATCTTGTATGTGCTGGGGTTCTGCCCTGGTATACACCAAGACTGCCGCTTAACACTCCACCCATACCAAGAGTCTGTGTCTCCTCACTTCTAATGTGTGTGTTCCTAATGACCTAAGTCAGAGCAGTTAGCTTCTTATTCTCCCAGACCTAATAAAAACTCCAGGTAGCAGACCCTTACCTAAATGCTTGGCACCAGAAGTATTTACAATTTCAGATAGCTTGAAATTTCCAATTCCAAGAATATTTTTGGAATATTTGCATATATTTAATGAGATATCTTTGGAATAGGACTCAGATTTAAACACACAATTCACTTATGTCTCCTATATACCCCAAACGTATAGCCTGCAGTAATTTTATACAGTACATTTAGTGTGCCTGTGTTTTGACTGTCAGCATCATGTGAGGTCAGTTATTTTCCACTTTGACTTTGTGTCGCACTGAAAATAATCCAGATTTTAGGTCATTTCCAATTTCCACGTTTTAAGATTGGCATGGGGCAAAGAGGAACAAGAAACTGGGACTAGTATATAAAATTTTAAATTTTTTAAATATAAAAAGGAGGGAAGGTTGGTGGTGTTCAAGCTACTGCTGTCTGACATGCATACTCTAGTTCCTGAGAGCCTGCCTGGTGTGCCTCACTCTCCAAGTCCACATCCAGAACATCCCTTCCCTTGCCTCTTCATTCTAAATGGAGAGGCCTCAGGCCTCTCTCTCTACACGGCATCCTACACTTCAGCTTCATTCTTGTTTGCTGGAACCTGTTTTACTCCTGCCTGTATGAAGCCAGCCACTGCCCTGGGTAGATACTGCAGAGATCTGCTCAAACACACCAGATGGTGACCTCTGTGCCCTCTGGGCCTGTCCCTCAGTTTGGGTCCTGATACAGTGAGACAAAAAGAGAGCTTCCACTCCTTCTGTGCAGCATGAGGAGACACTCATGCCAGCAGCCCACGGACTTTCCCAGCATACCGGCTGGGTTCTGGCAACTTGGCATTCTGTTAACTCATGGTGCTTTGGTGTCTTAAAATCTGTAAGAGGGATAGGTCATTGTCATGCAGGACCTCCTTTTAAGAGAGATTACTACAAACGATCAGAATTCCTGCCCTACTTTTCCTTAGATAATAACTGGATTGTGGCAGTTTTTCACATTAAGACATAATTTTAACTTGTTGGGTACCAGCAGGTATGACGTTAGATATGCAAAATTGTCCTCCTCTTACAGAGCGAAGTTTTTATGTTCAGTGTTCTGCTCAGGGGAACAAAGTGCTTCTATTTTGGCGGTTAGGTACCATATGCTGTAGAAGCAGCACATGGACCTCATTTCAGCTTTGCGTAACCCGTGAGTCCCTGTGTCAGTCTTCAGTTGGTTTCCGGGCAGTGTGTGTTGCCTAGCAGTGAAATCTGGCGTGGTACATTCATGTTGCTCTAATTTGCATGTATGGACTCAGCTGTGATGGAAAATCAAACTTGGATGTCACTGGGTCAGGACATCTATACTCTGAGCCAGGAAAGAATGCTTAAAGAAGGCCCCTGTTCTCTCCTTCCTGGAAGAATTTTCAGAGCATGAAGCCCTGCTGCCTTCAGATGATTTATACGTTCCCGCCCTGGCCTGGGATCCTACCCAGCACTTTTTTTGATGATAGCCATCCATTCTGATGAGCTTGGTATCTGGCCTCATTTCAGTTAGGATTCACATTTCCCTGATGCCTGAGGATAGTTTTTCCATGTATTTATTAGCCACCTGTTCTTTGAGGACTTGGGCTAATGTGCCCATTTATCCATTGGATTTCGTTCTTTGGAAACTGTTTTAATTCTTATACTATAGCTATTAACTTCCCCAGAGTCCCTGCAAAGATTTCGCCGCACTGCATAGGTTATCTCTTCCCTCTGCTGTTCCCTGGGCTGTGTAGAGCATTGTGATTGATTGGATGCAATCCCGTTTCTCGGGTCTCGCTGTCATTTGTTGGGTTTCTGGAATTCTATTTAGAAAGTCATTCCCCATGATTGTATCTTGAAATTTTCTGTGTTTCCTCTAGCAGTTTCAAAGTCTTACACTGAGACCTTTGACACATTTCCAGATGATTTTTACCAAGTGTGAAAAGATCTCATTTTGCAGTTCTGTAGGTAGCGCCTGTTTTCCTTGTTCCATTTACTTGTTGAAAAGTGTGGGTTTTTTCCCTTCATTTTAAGACACCTTTGTTGAAAATCAAGTGGCCACAGCTGTGTAGGTCATTGTGACAGCCCTGTCCCTGCCCTGAGTGTAGGTGGCAGAGTGAACTCAATACTGTGCTACACCAGCCTTGTTCTCTCTCTGCTTGATCTCTCTTTGGGCTATTTGAGGGTCTTTTGTGTTTCTGTGTAAATTTTAGAATTTTTTTTCTATTTCTGCAAACATCAATGGAATTTTGATAAAGAGTCATTGGATCTGCATTTATTTTATACATCTGTTTTCATGATGTGAATTCGGGTGATCCATAAACATAGAAAGTCCTATCTTTTTGGTTATGAGTCTAGCCTTTAATAGCTGATGCAGCCATCCCTTTATCCCACACAGAAGTCTTTCTCATCTGATATATATTTTTTCTTCTGCATTTTATAACTATCATTGTAGAGGTGTGCCTTTCCCCACCCCCAACCCCAACCCAGCCCATTAGACATTCCTAGGTTCTGTTTTTACTATTCTGAGTAGAATTGTTGTCCTGAGTTCTCATTCTGCCTTTGATTCTGAGCAGTGCACTAGATTTGTGAGAACTACCCAGGGTGCCTATAGGCATCCAGCTGGGATAGGCAGTGTGTGAGGCAGGAGTGGGGGCGCGGTGCATGCACGCATGATTCCTTTGACATTGCAGGTAGAGATCTTCCAGGGAACAAAACAAGCAGCCCTATACTGCTTGATGGAAGTACAAAAGATGGGATTTTCTGCCAGTTAGCAGAGTCTGCGTAGCTGTCAGTGGTACAGCACTGCAGTGGATGTTAGCATGTTTCCACCCATGAAGGTGGAATTGTATGCTCCTTATGAGATGATAGAATGTGGGAAATGTGAGCTCTGGAGCAAGCCTCACACCTGTGCCCATAGGAATGAAGCATGTAGACCCAGGCTCTACTCCCTCATGGAGTCTCTAGCAGCTTAGGCTGGTCCGCAGTGCACCAAGGCTATAGCTATAGGACTCCAGGATGGGGCAATGTGTCATGGGCAGGTAGAGATGACAGAAGAGTTCGGCCTGGTGAAGAATGGTCATCCATATGCCCAGGGGACACAAGCAGATTCATGTTTGTGAAGTTTCTGGGCTTATAAGGGTGACTTGGGGCTAGCTCAAACTGATAGAGCCCCATCAAGATAAAGGACACTAACTTTACCTGTTCTTTAAGTCAGTGTGACTCTAGTAACATAGAGAATTATAGCTAATAAGTTATTTCCTTGGCTTACCTTGTAGCAGATACTGTGTTAAAACACTTTACATCTTGTATAAACTGACTGAGAATGACTTGAATTTCTGCTGGTGAGAGACAGAACACAATCCCAGGCTACTCTGTGTTTCTAAGTGTGGGCTAGAGGCTGAGGAGGCCGAGGTCAGGGAGACACCATGGAAGATTAAGAGTACGGGGTGGGACGAACTGAGATAGTAAGGAGGGCAAGACAGGAATAAGGAAGAAGAGAGTGACAAGGTGGGTACTGATTCTGCGTGGAGACATAGCCTGTGGTGCTGGCCAGTTAAAGCTTTAGAGGACCAATCCTTCCAACATATAGGAACAAGGAAGAAAACACCATGGGGCTTAAGCAGTGTGCTTTGACATCTCCTTAGGAGATACAGGTGAGGAACATAGGAAATGGAGAGAGAGAACCAGGAGGGGAATTGAGGGTTCCCTCCATACGGGCAGTCACTGAAGGAAGATACGAATGAGCTGGGAGAAGCTACAGGTGTGTGCAAATGAGGCCCTGGTGGAAAGAGGAAGTCTGTAGAGACGAGGGTCTCTCAGTCTGGGTGCAGTCCTGAGGCAAAGGGAAACTTTCGATCAGTGGCCGTCACCTGTGTGTGAGGTAGAGGTCAGGAATGAGAACCAGAGCAGAGACCTCACTGGCTAAGGCACTTAATTCCCTGCACTTAATGTCTGTGTAATACCCAATTTTGATTAACACTGGTTCCCCTTTCCCAGGGTCCATCAGTAACGTCACATTTGGAGCGGGGGTCAGTTACATAGGGACACCAGCAACTCCATTTCTTACCAAAGGTAAGTTCTGGGTTTCATCTGATCAGGATATTCACTGCCTCTGAAGTTCTGGGAAAACTAAATTACTTTTTTACTCCTTTTCAGAGAAAATTGAAGCTCAGGAGCAAGGAAATGACATTTTATGTTTTTCACTGCCTGATAAATCGTAAGTATTCTTGGGCGGGCATTTTTGTAGAGTTTTTTTTCTTTTTATTGACTGTACATTTTCTTCTTTAGGCCTCCACAGTCTCCACAGTGGAACATAAAGTCTCTAGCCAGAAACAACGGCAACCCAAGATCCAGCAGGAGGTCCCTCCGCAAGATCCCCCTGAAGACAGCCAACTGAAATAGTGTGTGTGAGCAGTGGCTGAAGGCAGAACCCTGCGGGGACACTGGCCTTTCCCATGTGGAAAGGAAAAGGGTGGCGTGGGCATGGTCTACATGCGCAGAGACTTGCCGTACTGTGCCGCCAGTTCTTTTCGTAGGATGCCAACATGACTTTGTTCAACTTGTGCTGGCTGACCAACCTTCCATAGTTGTTTATTTTACTGCAGTTGAGATTTGTAAATATATACAGAGATGGCATATCTAGACTTCTTTTTTACAATAACATTAAGCTATTTAATATTGTGATGTGTTTGAGTGTTAAACCTGTGGTTAAGTTACAATCTGGTTTTTAAGGAACACAATTTTAGAAACCAGCTTTCCTCTGTGTAACTCAAGTGTCTATAGCTTCTCCAAATTCACTATGACAGATATTTCTCTTTGATGGCAAAATCTGAATTGAAATATTTTTCTATTATTTATAATTGAAGATTTTATTAAAAGAGGTGTACAGTCTTTCTAAAATTAAGGAATAAAGGTCAAATATAAATATAATCTCCTAGCATTTAATATAATTTTCTGGCTTTTGGGACAGGGCTTTATTGGTGGTCTTCTTAACACAGCATTAAGGATTTAAAAATACTTAAAATATAAATAGAATAAACTCCTTCCCATTCTGGGTCATGTGCCCACCTGCCTTTGTTCCCAGATAGAGACTTTCTGTCTCCCTAACGACAGACATCCCATAAGTACATTGGGTATAATCCTGCTTATGACAGAACGTCTTCCGGCCTTGGAGTGGCAGTGGGACTGCTTCGTGACACCGCCAAGGGACAAGGGACCTGGGTTCCAGGAACCCGAGAGATGGAATTCCGTGTTCTGCTTCTTTGGAGACATGAGTCTCACTGTATTGCTCAGCATGCTGAACCGGACCCGTCTGGTCCTTTCCTTGTTTCAGCCTCTTGAGTAGCAAGGACCACAGGCACGCTCTGCCATACCTGGCTAGTGCCACCCTCCTCCTGTCCCCATGTGCCCCCATGCTAAGCCAGGAGCAGGTGTGCCTAGGCAAGCCTCCAGCACCGGAACTGGCGTTCGTAGTGTGCATGTGGTAGCTAGAGTCGGGAATGGAGTATTACTGTTCTCCGCTGTAAAGAAGCTCTGAGAGCTGGTGGGATACATGTCATAGCTGCTCCTGAGTGAACACTTGGCTGATACCGATGTGGCTTTTCTTATTGTGGTGGAGCCTTTGCAGAGTATGTGCCTAGCCAGATGCTAAGAATACAGGATCGACTAACACAAAGAAATAAGTGGTTTCATTTTATGGGTTTTTTTTTTTAAGTTTTTATAAATGAGCAAGTTTTAACAAATAACCAAATTGCAGTTGTGTTAGTATAAGTCTGTAACGGCTATGAACAACAAGTTCAACATCAATAGTCAAAAACAAACAAGCAAAAAACCAGCCTCTTCCAGGTTCCTTCAGTCACATTCACATCTTACGGGTCAGTGAGCTTCTTCAGGCCACGTCTGTCCAGGCACAGGCTACCGCTTTCCAGGCTCACGTGTTGCCTTGTCAGACTAGTTCCCGTGGCACTGTGAAAGAATGCTTAGCGCATTAAAGAGAAAAGGCGGGAGCAACATGGCTGCCCTATTGCTGTGACAGCCACTGGAAGGTCAGTGTATTATTCTCCCACCCCACCCCTTTAGAGCTGCAGCTGTCCTGCTCTACCAAGAGAGGGGCAGGGGTAGAGGAGGGATGAGATTATCCAGGATGCAGAGCAAGAGAAACCGGGCTGTGCTGGACAGGCACAGAATTACCACCCTACTGTTCCTGCCAGTATCTTAGCATATAGCCTTCCACATAAGAAAAGAAAAAAAAGAAAAAAAAAAAAAACGGTGTGCTTCAAGTATTCAGTGAAAAAAGGAAGGGGTGGGGGACTGTAGAAGTATAAAAAAATATTAACATCACAAAGTGGCTAGCTCCTCCATAAAAACCTCTCTGGGTGCAAGGTAGGATTAGGAACTCCTTTAGATGCCCCTGGCTTCAAACCACTTTACATCCTGATCTAGCATGGTAAAGTGTTTGAGACGAAGGATGTCTGTTCCTAAAAGAATAAAGGCTTTTGAATGGTGTTTTTAATGTTCCATAAAATGAGTAGTGTCTCCGGTAGATAAAAGATTTAAAATAAAAATTAGAAAACTGCTTTTGGTGGGGTATTTCACTTTGCTCCCCATCTGTCTCTGTACCTTGGCTGTACTTTCTGACTGGCTTCAAAGAGCTGGGCTGGACACAAGGGCTTGTCCTGGGGGAGACAGCCTGCAGCGTTGGCCACTTTCATCACAACAAAGAGAACAGTAGAATCTTTTTAAATATTACTGGAGTTGACAGGTTCGGTTTCAAATTGCCTTTGGCCTTGGATTCACTTATCAACTAAACAAATAATTAAAGTGAATTTTAAAAACAACTACACCGCCTTTGTCTTATGACCTCTCCAGAACAGATTGAGCTCTGTCGCCGCACCCAAAGACTGGGATGCCACTGGTCACCAGCCTTCCTCGGCTTCCCACCTAAGACCAGCGCACTGCACAGCCCAGAATACCACCAGTGAACCTCTGATCCGGGTGGAGAGCTGAGGCCAGGGCTGTGCAGGCTGTCAGGGATGTTCCATCCTACACGAGTTAGTGACCATGAACAGTGAACTAACCCCAGGAACCATCCAGCTTTGTCTGCATCGTACCTCTCTGGGAATAGGAAATCTCAGGAAGAGGCAGTTCAAAACTAGCCCAGGAGTTCCCAGGGTTTCTTTATACAGAAAGATACAAACATGACTAGATTGAAAGTCTTTAATGGTTTCCTAAGCAACAGTGGTTTTCTTAAGAAAAATGCTAAAACGTTTTGTGAACAAAGAGAATTCCTTAAAAGACTTTTATTACTGGTAGTTTCCAGTTGAACACTAGTAGCCCAAGCCTTCTAATCTTAAATTGAACTCTTAAAAAAATATGTTTTGAAATACTGTGTGGCAATATATTTACAGTTTATATAGAAATGTTCAATAATCAAAATACATTTTTAGCAAAAATTTAGAATGTTAAAATTTTATAAAATAAGCTAGATCAATAGAAAAGCAGACTTCAGTACCATTTCAGACTTAGCTTAAGACAGGTTCTCCTAAATCCTGGCAGCTCTTGGGGACAAGAGTTCTCTGGATAAGAACTCTCTTTCCAGCAAGCAATTTTACCTTTCTGATTTGGGTTTTTATAAAATGCCGATCCAAATAGATTCTCCAGGATGGACATGAAAATACTGACCAATCAACAGAGGCAACACGGTGGGTCAGGGTCCAGAGAGCAAGGCACTGACTGCCTGAAACCTTCCTGGGACACCATCACAGGCGAGCTCACACAGCTGCTGCTGCAGCCCGGCCCCTCATCTTCTCACTAAACAACCCGGGGTCAAGAAACGGTCCAAGTTTTCCTGCGCAAGAGAACTGATAACAGAAAAGCTTTGAAGATCATCCTAATCCCTCTAAGGGAAAAGGCTAGCAACAATCTAAGTTACTATGCCATCTTCAGGAGGATTTCTTTATTCATGTGGCTTGTTAAAGAGCAAGGGAGGAGTCGACTTTGGCCAAAACAAAAAGCTTCTGCATGGCGCTCTGTAGGTGCCCTGGGCTCGCAGCGCCCTTGACCAGTCTCCAGTAGAGGTATTTGCAATGCTCTCCCAGCTATCGGGTCTCAGATGACAAAGGACGATTTGTGTCTGAAGTCACCCTGGAAAGACAGCACAAAGAACCAACAGTTCAGGGGCTTCGGGGAGTGGTGTAGGAGACACTGATCAAATCAAATGTAGGCTAACCATGCCGCCCAAAGAGGAAACCAGGGCAACACTAGCAGAGGAAAGTAAGTAAACCACATTAGCACTTTGAACCCACAAGGAAGGAGATACCATGACAGCCAAGGAGCTCAGGGTGCACTATAACTCCCAGGTACCTTGCAAATCGCTGGGTCTCCTGGCATGGGTTTTCTGCTCTCTTACCTCTTCATTTGTCCGAATGTAGTTAACTCCGTCATGCTTCCCTGGGCTCTTATAACTGTGAACAGAAGAGGACCATTCAGTGGTATGCCGATTTGTTAATGCAAGCCTGAACTTCACCTTCAGACAAGGCAGGCATACCTTTCTCCATCTTGTTTATCGTTGATGAAGCAGCCACGTCTGTATGCACAGCAGATGCCCATCGTGATCAGAGCAAGAACAATAAGGACAACCAGGACTCCCCCAATAATCCCAGCAATGTTCAGATCATCTACAGAAAAGGTTTATGGGCAGAGATGGTGTGATCATTCAAAAGACCTGGACTTTCTTAGTCACCTTTCCAACACCTACCGCCACCCTACCCCATTTACCCCTCTGTCCATTCATGCCTACTTTATCCAAAAGAGGAAAGTGACTCTTAACATCTCTCTGGCTTAGAAGATAAAGGCTACTGTAATCCCCAATCGTGAAACATGCTCACTCAAAGCCACTGAGAAGTTTGCCAGTGTAGAAAAGGCTTTAAGATCTTGTAGATATTATTCATGGAGAAATGGCTATATTTCTTTAGAGTTAAGAGCCAGGAGCCCTAAGGCAAGTAACCTTAATTTACATGGCCTGCCTTTGCTGTAGATTACCTGGGGTTACTTGGGGAAAAGAAAGCTTCAAATCTTAGACATAAAAGTGCAAACCTGCTCTTTCCCTTCACTGGCCGCCTATCCTCGGCCCTCTTAGAATCCCTGCGTCCTCCGGGCAGAGGCCCCAGTAGTTTCTTTCTTTATGTAAACAAAGATGCACGAAGAACGCAGGAAACCTTCCTACAACTGCAAATGCTCCCTGGGCCCTGTGTGTAACAGTCCTCCAGCAGGCATAGAAACCACTGTCCTAGGGGTGGCCACAACTGAGAATTTGAGAAGCTCCCCATGTGGCTCAACTCAGCCTATCCACTTCCTCCCGTGAGCCCACTCCCAAGAGATGACATCACAGAACAGGGAAAAGCATGGTGCTTTTCCTGAAAACCTAGCTACTATGACAGGCTAAATTCTTAGAAGCCTGTCAGGTTCCCCATACAGCTGGGTTTTGACACCTCAATCATTTTCCAAAGAGTTTATTGTACCCTGTGAAAGTTCCATGACTGTGTCGCCAACACCCAAAGCTGCCCGGAAGTTTGTCTGAGGATCTACTTAGTTTGGATCCTGTGCTTTTTCATACACACAATCCTCAGGCTCCACTGGATCTGATGAGTCCCTTGTCAGTGCCAGAGGAAAACTGACGCATGGCAGAATGATGATTAGCTAACCTGACATCTAGCATTCATCTCCAAGTGTCCTATTCAATCCCCAGACTCTAGTGTGATCTCAAATGACTCACAGACTTCCATGTCCTGCCCCTCACACCTGGATGCGCCTGCGTCATTGGAAGCAATGCAGTAGTACTGCCCAGAGTCGTCCTTGTGGACAGCACTGAAAACCTGTTTCAGAAATGACAAGTATTACTTCACTCAACACGACAAACGGAGAGACAGACACCAAGGCTGGCAAAGGCCTGATGAGACCACACAGTAGTCAGCTCATCTGTTGTGGCCTTCCTATGGCTTCCCTGGCAAGTGATCCTCACCTCAGAGCCTGCAACAAGGAATTCTCTCCAGGATACAGAGAAGCCAGCTTCACTTTCACTGTGACGTCAAAGCAATCCTAATAACTCTCCTTAGACATTACCAAATATCCTGTCTGGATTCACCTGATCACTGTGTGCAGCTGGGTGTGCTAGCCAAGTCAACCCCCTGCTGAGAAGTGCCTCAAGGCCAGCTCGTCCTCTGCTGCTTGACCAAGCCTTTGTTTTCTTTCTTTTTGTCTCCCGTGTGGCCTCCCACTACCAGTAGGTTATTCTGAAGTAAATTCCAGGTCTGTGTTATCCCTAAGAATCTATTTCTACATCAATGGTTCTCAGCCTTCCTAATGCTTTGACCTTTTATCCCATTGCTCGTGTTGTGGTGACTCCCAACCATAAAACTGTTTTCATTGCTACTCTATAACTGTAATTTTGTTACATTTATAAATGTTCATGTAAAATATCTGTTTTCCAGTGGTCTTAGGTGACCCCGGTGAAAGGGGTCGTTCAACCCCCAAGTTGAGAAACACTACGGTGTATGATAAGGACTAAAGAATTATAATCACAATACAATTTTGTTAATAATTGCTTAATATCAAGCATCTGCCAATAATCATATTTCCCTCACAAGCTGATTTGCCTGTTCGACTGATCAAACTAGGATTCTAATACTGCCCACACATTGTTTACTTGCCCTTTCGACTTTTCTAGCTGTACAGGTTTCCTTAAAGCATCCAAGGCTGCCACAAACGCATGTGCGTCCTCGCTTTCGAGGAGCTCTTACCAGAGTGCCCGTCTCGGAGTTCACACGGAACGAGGAGTTGTGGAACCTGGGGTTGGCTCTGGAGTCTGTAGGCAGTGGCACATCATTGCGGTACCAGCTGTAGTGAGGCCGGGGATAGCCCTCGCTCTCCTGGCACTGTAGTGTCGCCATCTTGCCTACGGGCACAGCCTTCGGTACTCTGCAGACAGGGGTCACAGGCTTCACTGCAGGTAAAAATACAGGTCGGTGTTCAAATTTCAGTGGAAGCCCTTCATAACAAAACCCAGGGTAGTAAACCAGCTCCAAAGACCACAGCCCATCTGCAGGCTGCCTGCTGTTGGAGCTCATTCTACCCCGTGTGTCCAATCCCAGTTTCCAGTCCTTCCACCTTCAGGAGTAAACTGAAAAGGAAATTATGCAAAGGCAGGGCCCTAGGCTGGTAAGGAACACACCAGGTGCTCAGCCTCTGTCTCCAACTTCCCACCCTTCCCACCACCTCCTGATAGCCTCACTAGCTCCCCTCTCCAAACTGCAGATAGCCCAGGGATGCAGCTCTGGAAAAATGAAATTAAAAAATAAGCTGCTCTCTTATTCTAGAGCTAAGGACTCATAAAGTGCTTCACATTGACTGGTTCCCACCTTGCACAATTAACTCAATGGTAATCTCATCGACGGCTTTTCGGTCATGTACAGCAACGACCTCACAGCGATAGATGGCTGAGTCCGACCGTGTCACGTTCCAGATCCTCAATGAAGATTTTCCAAACACATCTGTACGACCTGCCAGGTCCCCTGTGAA